AGTCAGCAGTGACGTTTTAGGTTGACAGCCGTCAATCTCAAAGGCAGGAAGATTAGTCTTTGCATCTGGGTAGTTTTGGTGTAAAGACCTCCTTCAGCCACTGACCCATGTTATGCTGGAAACTCCATTAACAGTCATTCTGATGAAATTCTACAAAAGACTAACTTTGTATCCCTTATGCTTTTCTATAAAACATTTAACATTTACATGTTCTCAACACTTAAAATGCCCTGTAACACTCAACTACAACTACTTCTGTATAGAAGAGCTTGCTTCTAGAACAAAATAAAAACCCACCTTCAGGCAGCCGTAGCCGAGTTCCTGGAATGCTGTTGTATTTCCGACATGATCCACTGGGTCTTCACAGTCTATAAATTCATCAGGTCTGTAAATCACCATAAGATGATGATCAAATGCTCTTTACACATCGCCCTTTGCATGTACATAACCCAACAAGCAAGAGACAATTCTCCACCAAGTTTTCCCGGCTTAATTTCACTCTAGACTCTTTCCCATGCCTAGAGGTGGTGTCAGTAAGACTGAGTAAAACAGTTCAAACAGCCTCATTGTGTGTGTGTTTCTCCCAAGTCCTACTTCTACATGGATTCTACGTCCATCCCTAGGCACCAACCCCAAGTAACTGAATTCTGCCTTGGCTTCTGTTTGTTCCTGGGCTAACAACCAAGGACAAGGTTAGAGGGGCAATGGTTTGGAATTCCTCTTTTTCTTATTGATTAAAGAGAAGTTCACAAATGGTTTGGTTTTGCAATGTTAAGGAAATTGCTGTGCCTTTTGGACGGGAACAGGTAATTTATTTCATTTATACTTTAATCAGGACCAGTACCTATCAGCTAACAGTCCATGAAACAGGGAAAGTACAACCTTCTCCCAGACGTTATATGATGTCATTCCCCCGTCTCCCCCGCTCGGGGTCGAAAAGGATCTACCACCCACACAGAGCGCTGTCCCCCTACATGGGCTAGAGGACAAGACGTTTATCTTCCGCGTCTTGACTATCGGGTCATCAGGTGGTGAGGATATGGAAAAAAAGCATCCTCCTCCACCCCCCACCCCATACCCATATATTCCTGACCCCATCTCCATTTCCACCCGCCTCGACGACTGGGTAGCTTACAGGTAAGAGCAAAGGATGACCGGAGAGTGGGGGTCGCCATATTCCCAGCTCCGTGTGCCCGCGGAGCCCTCCGGGTGGGCGGCACCAGAGGATGTGAGCTCGGGCTCGTAGGTAGTATTCTGCGAGTGGCTCCGAGAGACACAATGCAGCAGAAGTAGATTCCCCAGCAACAAAGCCGCTTGGCCGCACAGAAGCAAGTAACTCACCGGGCACCCACCTAACACCATCTTCCTAGGCCCAGTGGCATAGACCCGACCTCTACCACAAACCTAGGCCCACACAGCGGAGCGGAGCAGAGCTCTCCGAGGAAGGGCCCCGTCGCTCAGGCCTTCGGCTCGCCTCCAAACAGCCAATGGGCACGTAGCTCGAGGCTCCGCTTCCGCTCTGCCAGCCAACCAGATTTGGAAGACAGGTGGGCGGGGCTGATTGTTGCTTCCGCTTCTCAATTCCTTTGCTAGGGCTTCGTCGAATCGTTTCCTTCGACTCTCAGAGTGGGCGGGCCCGAGGCGAAGGAGGGCGGGGCGGGCTGTGAGTGGCAGGGCCGACTAGTCTCGCTCCGTCGGCCGATTTTGAGGGATGTTATTCCACCGGGATCGACTTCATGACGTCAGCATAGGCGCGAGCCTGGGCCGAGACCGAGTTGCGTCAGTGCCGCGCGCGTGCTCGTTCCTGGGCGCGCTCCCAGAGACCGGCTGTGGGGCCCGGGTGGGGTTGGAAAATGATGGAGGAGGCGGAGGAGACGGAGTGTTGAGTGGAACCTGCGGAATCCGCCGAGATGGGTTCGGGCGCGGGCTCGCCCTTTGGGACCCTCCGCTTCCAGTGGCTGCTGTTGTTTGGCCTGCTGGGTCCAGTCCTCGGTGGGTCGCGGCCAGGTGGGTGTCCGCCCCCATGGGCCTGACAAGTCCTTTGGGATCGCTGCTTCTTAGGTTTGGGACGTTCATAGTTCACTCTGGTGTCTGAGAGTGGGGAGGCCTGGCCTCGGACTGGATCCGGGGTTGGAAGGCTAAGCCAACACAGATGGGTGTGGACGCTGCTCAGAACCCCCCAAACCCGCTTCTGGGCTCGGTTCTCCTCTGTGGGTACTCTGTTTCCCTCGCAACTCGCGCGGCGTCGCATCCCGCAAACTCTCGGGACCGCTCCGAGCCAGCTTCTGATCCAGGCGTCTGCTGAGAGCCCGGGAGGCTGGGTGTGCCCCCCGGAGGTGGGCACGAGTAAGATGCCTTGAGCCATGGAGTTCGATTTTGCCTGTAGAGTGACTGTCACTTGGAAAGAGACTGGTAGATGGATGAAAGTTTTGCATCGCGTTATTCTCATAATTCAGGGTTTTGTTCATTTTATTAGCGGAGTCATCAGTAGGTCCACAGAACTGAAATCAGTGGTGGAATAAGGGGAGAGGCTAACTTCTTTCGGACCATTTTGTTGTCAGAAATTTCTTTTTTTAGAAATTTCTTTTTTGGAGACTAAGTGCTACATTCTTACAGCCCTGCTGGCTTTTATCTGGGTTTTGCTGTTGTAGTGTACTAAATGCGGACAAATAAGCCTTGCTCTGCTTAACTCACAGGGTTATCTTCAGATTTTTATCATTGATGTGAAATCGTTTTGAGGGTAAACTTTCACTGAGTGTGTTATAAGATATGAGAATTACCTTAGCATAACAGGAACAAATTGGCAACACACCTTCTTTCTGGAAAAGTCTTTATTGACTTTGGCTCCTGTATTACAACGTTGTTTGCACTCCTGTATTTCCTCTACTAATGATCCATTATACTAGGGAACTTAAAAAAAAATTGCCATGAGAGTTTTTCAAAGACATGATGAAAGATTTCAATATGGGGCATCTGACCTTCAGGAAACTAATTACATTTTCCCCTTATCTTTGCCTTATTCTTTTAAAAATCAATTGAACAATATGAGAATGAATAGTAATTCAAGGAAAAAGGAAGGGAAAAAAATTAAATGAATAAGCCAGTATTGAAGCTCTGAGTACTGAAATTTATTGACTGGAAAGCTACCAAATGTTTTCTTGCCTACGACTTATTTTCATTGACATGAAGTAGATTAGCTTTGGTAATCTTTGATTCTACGTGTTTGCAAATGTAAACAAGACTATATTTTTCATGTGCATGTATAGGTCAATTATAATACAAGAGTAAGTAAATACAAAAAGTATTGCTACTATGGTTCTTGTTCATACATGCATTGGGCTTATT